TAAACAAATCAGCTTATTCAAATTTCATTGATTGAAAAATTAAATGAAACAAATGTTAGCAATAACTTCAATAATACTAAATACTGCGAGAATTTCAGCATGCTGACATGTTGCAAAATAATTCTAGTTCTTATTTTTCTTTAAAAAAAAAAAAAAAAAAGCTCAATTACTTACTATTTATTTATATATACACACCATTATTTGCAATGATTTGTTGCCATCAGGCAACTCTTCAATACTCTTGTAGTAAGATTCTACAGGTTTTAATGTAAGAATGCGTTTTTCATTAGAGAAATGTTTCCCCATCAATGTGTTTTATAGCTATCAATATCAGGTGAAAATGTTGGTCTGGGGGTGTATTTCAACCAAGCTCCAAAACATTTCCTCTCACTTAGTCTTGTTGTATGCAGCCACTCTCATTGATTCTTTTAATTCTACTCAACATCTTTACTTACCAAGAAGTTAAAAAAAAAAAAAAAAAAAAAAAAAAAATGTAGTACTATGTTCATGCTTTTCTCAAACTAAACAATGACTTTTTTCCCCTCAAGAACTTGACTACCAACCATGATATCTCTTGCTGGGCACCAAAAACAAATTTATTTGCAATGATAATTTTAGTGTGAAAACAATGTCAATACTTCAGCTGAAACAACTGATCAACTTATAAAAAAAAACTTTATTGCCTATTATAAAGTTTGTATTTCAAGTTAGATTTTGTAACTGATTTCTGGCAGTGTTAAGCTCAAGCTCCCTTGGGACAAACCTATTGCTTAAAAACTTTCTTTCTCCAATATGTGTGTGTCCAGCTAAAACCAAACTGTTTCATTATCATAAAGCAGACCGGGGCACTTCAGTGTGGTGTAATGGTTACCAAGCTTGTCTCGCTAGTTCAGTTACAACTGAAAAGTGAATTTGATCCTAAGAGCCCCATACCTTCGGACTTGTACCACATCTAAGCTATGCTTAGAAAATAAACATCACAAAGCAGACAGTTTTCTTCAGTTATGTGGAATGGTTTTACTCTCAATGAAGCTCCTTGCCTTAGACATCTATTGAGATTGTTGATCTCAAGTAGAACTCATATATGATCCATTGCTAAAAATGCTGCAAAAATGGTCATATCCTTGTACTGCTCCAGAAAGTACCTGAATACTTCTGCCATGCTCTAATTTGACAAGAATCACATCAGAATCAAAAATGAAATATTTCCTTCGCTCCACCAGTTCAGACTTCCAAACCTACGACCTGCCCTTCCATATATATATATATATACACACACACACAGTTGATGCATCCTCACTCATTCCATTAGTAATGAGGAAGTTCCACAACACTCCCAAAAGCATGCTTTTCTGAATCATTGCAAAGGTAACCTATTCAAGTTTAGAAGCAACTGTTATTTATCCTACAATATACTCATAATATGAAACTCTTGCTTTCCCCTTGTATGCCCTCACAACAACATCATCATCATCATCATCATTCAGTAATCTTGTACCTTCAGTGTCTATTAAGCCTGGATAAAAAAAAAAATTAATTTTGAAGCTCACCAACAGGAGATTGATATTTTTATAAAAGCTGAAAAAGAAAATCATGCAAAACAAGAGAAAATTTTATAAATTGTCAAGATATTTTAGTAACTTTATTGTTCTTCGGATGTTGTTTGTGCATGGCTTCAAAAGCCGTGTGGTCCACATTGCAATGTGACACAATTGTTTCTCTATCTACCAAGACAATCCCCCAGAATAGGGCTGTCACCAGAGAAATGGTTCAGCCAGGAATGTCCAAAGTTCTATAGCCGTTTTTTTTTCTTTTTTTTAAATTTTTGGACGCTATTTCTTTCAAATGGTGTCCAGGAAATAATGTCCATTCGGTCATTATATTTGTGTAGGCTCCAAAAGTGCTTCAAGCTCTTTTAACAGAAAAACATTCTCCACTTTTTGGTCAAATGCAACAAATCAGAAACAAAAATAATCAGATCCAGTTTGTTTTTTTTTCTTTTTTCTTTTAAAGACGGAAAAAATGTGTAGTAAATAAAGTTCAATAAATAACCACTTATATATGTCAATATATATATTTTTAACAAATGACCACTTCCAAGCAGTCAGTTGGAATTATTTAATAAAATAAAATAAAAAAGTGCATGTGTTTTTAATGTACAAATGGGGTAAATTATATATATATGTATATATATAACTCCTCCTACCCTCATCCAATCACCCCACTTGAGAGAGAAAAAAAAAATCAAGGTGTTTCAAAACCAAAAATAGATATAAACGCAGTGAAATCCACGTAGCAAGACACTTTAAATGTTTCACATCCTTCCTCAGACTTCATGTTTAAGGTTGGATTTGATATTCTTTTTTGAATTTCTTATTGATATGGGCAACAAAATGAGGAAGACAACTAATAAAACTAAAAGCAATTGTGTAAGTAAGCACATACAAAGGGGTGCTGAAAAATTCAACCCAAGCAAAAAGCCTGCCTCCTACAAAAAAAAAAAAAAATCCTGAGCACTTTTCAGCACCCCCTCATACATATATAATTTGTGCTTATTGACCACAAGATTCAGGTGAAAATTAACAAGGCAAGCTTAAAAGAAAATTTATAGCCTGTAAAAACCAAGACCACAAACACATGCACTTATTTCTGTTGACCTGTATCAAAAATAAAGAGTGGAATTTGCTTTAAAAAAAAAAAAAAATAAATAAAACGACCCTAGTTAAGCAAGTTCAACTTAGACTACAGCTAGGATTGTAAATTCAATCCTCACTGAGTGTCCTAAATATCTGATTTTCATTATACGACTTGGTTTACTTTCTTATATATTAAGGTAACACAAAAAGAAAAGGCAGGCTTTAGTCATGAATTGGACAATGTAATTTTGAACTTAACTTTGTTTACAACTTGATAGAAAATAAAAAGCAGTACTTCAAACCTTGTGTGTTCAAATGGATATATTCCTATTATCACGGGTTACTGATAATGTCTTCTTGAATGAAATAGTAGCTGTCACAAACATTTCCAAGGGTCAGTATAACATTAGGAAGAGAGTCTCACATATTTAATCATTTAGCCATAGAAAGAAAGAATCTGTTCACCAAACCAGAAGAAAATCAACAATATTAATGAAAAATGTTTATTCTTGGAAAGAAAACAGAAATGTATTCCTTTCACTCTCTGCCACAACACTGCTAAAATATTTTGGTGATCCAAGAAATTTCTTTGTTTCAATGTTTTCTTATAACACTGTTTTCTGGTCTTAGACAAATTTGTCTACTAAGGAGATTAAAAATTGATACATGTATTAAATACTCTGATTTCTAAAATTGTTTATATAAATCCTCAACAATAGAAACTACTTGGATCATAACTCACAAGCATTTTATTTACCATTTGATCCCAAATCACAACAGCCACTCACTTTCGTGCAAGAATAAACATTTTGATTCAAGCAAACAAATCAGTTTTGGAGAGCAGAGGGTTTGCATGGGGAAAGAGTGCTTCTTGTGCATGCACACACATGCACGCACTCACACACACACAAAAAAAATAATATGCTGTCATGGTAACAAAGCATTAGCACAAGAATACCAATATTTCTACTGTTACCACTACTACTATAAAAGCTAGCAGTGACGGCCACAATAGAATGAAAATATCCTTTTAAATATTTTTTTCTTTTTTTTAAAGGCATAAGCAACTTCAACAATTTGAAGCTATATACATGCACACATGTATGCATATTTGTGTGCCCTACAATGGGACTGAACTCAAATGCTACCTTTTTTACAGCAAGTAGGTAGCGTATACACAAGAAAGAAAAATGGAGAGACTGAGCCCAGTGATCTTGTTAAATATTGACCATAGTAGGGAAGGCTTAAACCTTTTTCTCTTTCTTTTTTTTTTTTTTTTTTTTTCCTCCAAGAACACTTATATATGTATTAGGATAATAAATCTTTATTTCACAGAGAGAATGACAACTGTAGTGAATCTTAACACTGTGACAAAATGTTTGTTGTTTTTCCACACACTTGGCTTATAAAGCCATCCTGGGTTAAGTTTCTTTGCTCTTAGCAAACTTAATTTTATCTCCAAAGAATATGGTAGCCATGAAATCTCACAATATAAGATTTCAATTATTTCAAATATGTCGTATTTTCTCTCCATTTTCTACTGCATTTAGCATTTCAGTTACTCAATGAATTGAAACTGCTGAAGATTATAAATTTTCAATGAACTGAACTCATAGCCAAGTTTGTTCGACGAGGTTCCAAGTCAGAAAACAACAATGATGTTGGACAAGAGACGGAAAACTAACAGAAACAGATTTGTCAATTTAATAATGAAATAAACAAACCTGAACCACATTTACTTACAAACATGTAAGTATGATTGAACAATTTACCAGAATTTATTTTGTCCATATATCTGTAATCCAGAAAGACAAAAAAAAAAAAAAAAACCTGAAAAAAATCAATTTCAATTTCCCTCTTTATCCTCAGGACATAAAAAGCTGACACAACCTGTGCAAAGCATCTTAAACACAATGCAATCAGACCAAAGAAAAAAAAAAAAAGAAGCAAGGTTCTTGTGGTTAGAATTTTTAAAGATATTCCTTCATGGAAAAAGAATATAAATTGTTAAACAATGAGATAGAAAAGAAATTGATTTAAGAAGCTTAGTGGGAATCGTAATAGAAAATGAATGAAAATCCTCTAATTGGAACATAGGCGTCCAATGAGAGGGAATGAATATTTACAAAGAAAAGTTTTTTTCAGTGGGCAGGGGTAGAGAGAGATGACCCTAATATGAAAGCTCCAGCTGACCTCCAAAGAGGCTTGGGGGGAGAAGGGAGATTGCCTCCCATTTTAGACAAGGCAGGGGGCCAGAGCAGGAAGTAAATTCTTATCATAGGAACATTTTATAGTTGCTGTCTCCATCTCTGTGGTGATGGTGGTAGATGTGTGTCCTCCAAGAGACTAGGGAATAGGACCTGACTATTGCTCAATCCAAGATGGCTTTGCAGAATTAGGGGCTTTTAACTTTATGTTGAATTGCTTAAGTGTGGCGTCCAGAGCTGCCTCGTTGCCACTGAAGTATGCCGACACCGCATTGTGGAACAGAAGCAACTGCTTGTGCATGACCTTCACCTGAAAAACAAGAAAAAGTCAACATATATATATGTTATGTTATTTTCTTTATATTCCCTAACCCAAAAGAAAAAAAAAGAGCAAACAAAAAGAATCACTCCATTTGCTTCCGCCCATGCTAGAATTGGAAAATAAAATAATGATGACTCCTAAATGATACAAAAACATCTTTTCCTGGTTTGGTTTGTTTTACGGTATATCAACAGCAATGGGTTATTTAATGCCGACAAGATTTATCCCCAAATGTATTTCTGGTAATAATTTTTACAAAAATTTATTACTGATATTGAAACCTATTTTTACACTTTCATAGTGTTTTGACCCATTTGGGAGTTAACTATTTGCCCATAGCTGGGTCCTACCACCCTGGGTCAGGGTGGACCTGGGAACACCAGCAATTAAGAGGTGGTTCCATGCTTCTCAAAACCTCCTAATCAGAGGCATTGCTGCCAGATGTAGTTTATTGTCTTACCTAGGATGCATCTTTTACTGAACAACAAGAATCTTCAATGGCTGATAAAAGTAATGGGTAATTTTTGCCGTATTGTTAGAGAAAAACTTCCTAAACTACTTCTATGCAACATAAAATGGATGCCCTGTCAGAAAGGTTTACAATACATGAACATGGGTAGTGACCTGTGATGTCTAAGGGGGTTAATCATTCTGGAGATTGGTTATTACTTATGTTAGATTGATAAAATAAAGTGTTGCAGTTCACATGATAGTCATGCCAATTCATAACATCTATAAATTAAACTATTGTCATTCACAATTATATATATATACACACACACACACACACACACACACTATGAACGTATATTATAGTAAAATTACCAGCAATACATTTGACTCTTGGCAAAAACCCTCTTTACAAAAACATGTCAATGAAACCTGACCTAGAAACTGATTTCTTACAAAGTTTAAAAGTCTTGTCAGCATTAAATAAACCACTGAGGTGTTGATATAATGTGTTTCAGAATCCAGATGGCAGCAATAATAACAATAAAGCAGACAAACATAGAGCAGTTGGTGCAGCTAGGACCAAATGACTGGCCAAAGTTCCAAGAACTGCTAAAAAGAACATGCATGGCTGAAAACTGCCAAACAGAAATAATAAAACTGCAAGTGTCCATTTCAAACTTACATGCTGTGGCTCAAGTGCCGACTGTACAAAATATAACATATCCACCTAAAGCATACAACAGTTGACACAATCACAAAGATCACCAATCTGTCCTCAGCTCCTCTGAAAAGCCATGAAAATAAACAATACCAACCAACAAATAAAATCACTTCTGACACCCACAAAAAAAGATTTGAGGTACTAGAGATGATGGATAACTTACTAAAAAGTTCCAAACAAAACCCAAAACATCAAATAAGTATAAAACTCAAATAATACAAACATGAGATATAAAATACTACACTGGGGCTGTCATGAACTAAAACCAAATTACAATGACTTACACATGTTAATAACAAAATTGCATCTTGTGGTTATTTATATTCAGGAAACATTTCTAAAAAAAAAGATAATATAAAAAATCTTTAAAGTGTTGTGTCCTATTCACAGCTCTGAACTCAGGGCCTCTGGAGCAGTCACTGTCTTAATGAAAAATGAAGTACCCCAGGGCAAAATTGAACTAAAAACAGAATTGCAAGCAGCTACTGTTAGAGCTACTTTGCACAGAACAATCAGCATATACTATCTGTATATCCCACCACATACTAGGTAAGATGATAAACTATGTCCAACAGCAAGGCCTTAATTGCTGGTATTCCCAGGTCCACCCTGACCCAGGGTGTTAGCATCTGTTAGTGTTCCCAACTATGGGCAAATAGTTAACCCCCAAACTGGGGTCAACACAGTATGAAACCGTAAAAATATACTTTAATCCCAGCAATACATTTTTCAAGGTTGAAGAAAAAGAAAAAAAAAAAATTAACAGTGATACATTTTTGGAAAAATATTACCAGCAATAAAAATCTTGTCAGTATTAAATAACCCATTCAGGTTGATATGCCATAAAACAAAACAAACCAAACTACCAAACAATTCCCCAAACCCTTCATTCTTCTAGGGGATTTTAATAGCCAATGTGGAGATCCAAGGTGAAAAACAAAAAAGGTACAATTATAGAAAAATTCATTATGGATAATGAGCTATGTCTACAGTCTGCTCAACCAGGGAGCAGTGACATGCATCGTTCTAGCAATTGACCTAGCCATGTATGATCCAGCAATTTATCTGGAGTGTTTATGATGACACATGCAGTAGCGTTCATTCCCCAATCATTTAGATAAACAATGAGATGATCAAGGAGCACCCGCCTAGCTGAAGGCTAAACAAAGCCAATTGGGGGAAAATTTACGAATTTGCCAAAGCAAATTAATTCAAAATAAATAAACGGCAGAAAGTTTCACAGAATCCTTAATAGACACAACAAAGGAATGCATCCCAAAGCATTTAACAGCAAACAGAAGAAACAAACCCTGGTTCAATGATGGACGTAAAGAGGAAATAAGACTGCATAAGACAGTGCTTTGAAAATTTAACAAGGAGCCAACAACCACCAACCTCATCAGTTATAAACTAAATAAAGCAATAAAAGAAACCAAAAGGGACTGTTGGCAAAAATGTCAAACAAAATTTAGTTACAAAACCAAAAAACAGTTTGGGAAATGAGGAAAATAACTGTAAAAGAAATAATAAATAAATAGATAATCAAAGTATCAGTAAAACATTTCTCAAACATAGCAAACAGAGAAAAAGGATATAACAAACATATATTGATTGAGCCATTTACAAAAAAAATAAAAAAAAAAAAAACTGTAAACAACAATGCCAAACAATAAAACAAAATGCAGAAAAATACAACTAACCTAGAAGATTACAACAAACCAGAACTAGAAAACTCTATTAGAAATTCCCATAATTCAGTTGTAGGACCAGATGAGTTTTTAAAATAATTTGCAAAAGTGGAAAGTTACCTAAACAATGGTGACAAATAACTGTTCTACTGATTTCTAAAATGGGAAAAAATTATTCAAAAAGCTCTCTAAGGGAAGCATTTAAAAGAAAATAGCATGTGTCTACTGTATTCTTTGACTTGGAAAAGGCATACAAAACTACCTGGAGATAGGAAATCATGCGAGATCTACATGACCTCGGACTGAAAAGTGGGTTAGGGAAATTCATTAAGAGCTTTCTTTCCAATAGAGCTTTTCAGGTCGGCATTGGATCTATTCAGTCGAATCCCAAAACCCAAGGAGTGCCACAAAGGAATATATTGTTGGTTACTGTTCAGTATTAATATAAATATTATTGCAAGGAACATGCTCAAGGTATAAATGGATCTTTGTACATAGATGACCTTACTGTAAAAGTACTGATCCAAAAATATACATAACAGAGATAACAGTTTAGATTTTCAAAAACCAAACCAAACCAAAATGTGTACATTTCTGTAATAAAAACAAACTGCATAATGATTCAAGATTGGAGTATGGATTGGGATAATGAAAATCTTCAAAGCTTGCATGGATTACCAAAATTTCTGGTGCTGGAATTAGTGGAGGATACTATGCTTTCAAGATGTCACCATTCATTATAGAAAAACTTGTGTTAAACAGACTGATTCCAACAACACTGAGAATGGACATCATATCCTCACCAAATATAATCATCAAGAGCATAGTGAGAACCCCACCCCTGCCCCAAACTCATTGCATGAAGTGAAAATGGATCTCAAAAGTAAATAGGTCTTAAACCTTGTAAGTATAAAAAAAAAAATCAAACATGTACATAGTTACCGTCAACACTGAGAGAATAGATTACAGTGAAGAAAGTCAATTACCCTTTAAAATGCTACAAATATAAAGCCAAATGTATGGAAGAAATAACTGCTTCCAGTCTAACTTTTCCCAAACTACTGAGCTGGGGGTAATGGCATAACATAATGGGGAGGCTCACCTTGTCTTGACTATCATCCCCCAGGTATCACTGTCATTAAGTAAACTAAGAAGCTGGTGGCCAGTCATATCATCAAAGATCAACCCAAAAGAACCTTTATGGAATGTACTCAAGGTCCCCAAAAATCCTGCAGCTGATAAGAGTGGTCAGTGTCAAACTTTGAAATTTTGTCATAACCCATTGGGATAGTATTCAATAAAATCTTGTAATCAAATATGACACACTAAAATTTAGAAAACTCCATAAGAATGGAGCTCATCCGAACATTTGCTATGGAAATATCAATAAAATAGCAATAGCCTTGGAATACTGCATGCACTGTTTTCTCCAAAGACGCAATGTTGAAGGCCTATCACTATTTCCATGGAAAGTGTTCAGATGAGGCTCATTCATTAGCTGTGAAAGTGACTTGGTGAAACTAAAACTCACCAAGCTATGTCCACAGAGTTGAATCACCCACATTTCCTCTGTATTCCATTTGTAAGGAGCAAGTTCCACTCAGAGAGAAAGAACTGCTAGTTTGTTCCACAATTTTCCAGCATGAATGCTTCCCTCAATGCTACTATCTTAACTTCTTCAAGTCAAGCATCAATCACAATCTATCCTCCTTATCATAATCTTCATATCACACACACGTCATTCACCCATCCTCTACCATGAATGGCTCTTGAGCATTTTATTAAGTGAACTAAAGTAAATTTACCATATTTTCTATGTAAGTTCTTCAAAATGATATTGTTGAAAATAATTGTTAATTTATTCAAAGCTATCATCTGAACAAACACATCAGATGAGAGTATAAAACTCTTCAAAAGTATTGCTATTAAACAAAAATTTATGGCTTGTGGGAATCAAAAAATAATTATTTAGAAAGCAGAACAAATGTGTTACCTTATTTTCTTCCAAAAATTTCAATTTTATGGCCACGTCAGCTCGCAGGGTTTCATATTTTTGCTTGTGTTCATCAAATTTGGTCTTGGCATCTTCAATTCGAGGAGTGGAAGTTGAATCTCTTGGACCCATTTGAACATTTTCCAAATCGTTTCTGTATGCATCATACTCCAACCTTTTAAAAAGAGAAAAATAAAAGACACAATGAAAATTTAATTCAATTCTCAACTTTATCAGCATAAAAATCAATTATCCTTTCCATAAATATACCCAAACAATTTCCACTGTTCATATAATTTCACTCACATTTTTCTGACATTCCTGTGAGATAAAAGGTGACTACTTAGAGTGAATCATGAAAACAAGTTTAAGACCCTTGTAGAATTAATATACCATACATTATCTTTTATGGTTTTATAGATTAACTGTTGCACTCAACTATGGCTAGGAATTATTTTGGAAATTTTACTCTTTCAACAAAGATTACCCTGAATACTTTTTGTTGTTGCTATACACAACTTTGCCCCCAATGCATTGACTATCAGCTGAAAAATCTTACAATGAAAACTGTGATAGCTTCACAGTTCATACATCAAGTCAAAGGTACTTGGAAAAGAGGAAATTTCCAGACAAAATGAGGGAATAAAAGTCAATATACAAAGCTATATATTCCAGGCTGATTTTTTTTTTTTTTTTGTTTTCTTTTTTAAATCAATTTTTTGCCAGGTTAATCAAGCAAGTAAAAAAGAAAAAAAATATCAAGGTATATCTGAACCATCATCTTAACCCACCTGAAATTCACCCTGAACAATCACCTATAATTTCAACCCAAAGCATCACCCCATTTCCATCCTCAACCTCTTTGTGCTATTCATCTTTCCCAACCAGCTTTACTATTAAATGGGCAAGATTTCTATAAAATTTACATGGGAGATATATATGATTAATACAAATATAAAATTTGTCACTCAGCTGATTTGTTATATTCAGCAACCAGACTCCAGAGTTTTGTAGATGAACCTTTTTTGTAATAGTTCAGTCCACTCATCAGGAGGTTTCAGCAATTGAACAAAATAAAATGAAATGTTCAAGTTGATCAGATTTAATCTGTTCATCAGGAGGTTAGAGATATCAACAGATATCACAGATTTACATGATGTAAAAAGTATATTAATTTTTGGCATCAACTTATTTTAAATTTGTTCTTTCATAAGGATGTTATTACATGACAAAATGTAATCCAAAATTGTTCAATTATGTGTACTGGATAATTTTTTTATATTATAGAAAGGAACTTGTATGAAAACAAAGTAAATATAGTAAATGGTACAACTATTTATTGCTTATTGGATACTAGATACATTTATATTATTGATAGTCTAAAATTGACAAGGACATGGAGAGGCTTTGGAACGATCTACATTTGGATCTTGCCAACTTCCAGTAGAACATATTAAATTTCCAGACTGCGATTGTCTACCTATAGACTAGCAGAAAAAAGGAAAAATTAGACTGCTTCATAGTTGGGAAGTTTCTATGTCAAGAAATTAGTGTGCAATTTCAGTCTGTTGTCTTGGCACCATCGACTTTTTCACACTGAAAAGTACATTAAAAAAACAAACAACTACTCTATAAACTATAACACAAATATAATAAATAATGAGTAGCTGTTGTAAAATTGTTTTAAAAAGAAAAATTATTCTTCAAAATGATTGTCTTTACATAAAAATAAGTGATTTGGTTTTCTCCCCTGCTTCAAAATGGTGACATTTTTCAAGAATGGAAATTCATATTCAAACCTTCAAAATGTCAGCACCTTACCTTACACAATAATAATCTATTCTATAATGTTTGCCATTTAATAAAATATAGTTCAGTTGGGAATGCATAAGATTGAATATTTTAAAGTTCCCAGTTCAATCCTTGGTTTAAACATGAACTTTCAAACAATAAATTTCTAACCAAAATTAATAAAATTTTGCTTAACAACTTTTTTTTTTTTAAACTGATAAACTTAAAAAAAAAAAAAAAACTTTAACCAAGAATCCATGCATACTGTTGAGTATTTCAAAAGAAAAGAAAAAGTAAGTAAAAGGAAATAGAATAAAAGTAGAGGCTTTCTTAAACCTTTCATGCTGCCTATTTGTATTGGTGTATTCATCTGAGAAGGTCTTCTACCCTATAGTACTCTAGGTTAAATGTAGTGAAGATTTGGAGCTGGCCGAGACAAAGGGGGAATATAGAAAATTTGAAAATTTCTTATAAAAAGAGGCAAAGTATCAAAAAGTTTCATTGCATAATCTGGTTTGAGAATAATCCTCCATTTAAGAGGAAATATTTTAAACTCAAATATTTTAAAACTTGTTTCATTCAATCTGTATTTTTTATACCTGAAGAAAGTGAGATAGCTACAACATTTAAAAGTCAAGCAGGCAAAAAGAAAGTGTTGTGTTGAGTTTATTATTTATTTTGCTCACCTACCTTGCTGTTTCATATAATTTTATCGTAAGTAATGTATCTTCCATTGTCTTATTGCATAGTGTGTTCACTGATGAAGTAAAAAAGTTCATGGCACCTGGAAAAAGAAAAATTCCAAAAATTTATAGACCAATGAAAACAAAAACTGTGAAAGCAATTTTTCAAATTATTAAAAGAAAAATTCCTTTTAAGGAGTGAAATACATGATAAAAAGCTTTCTTTTTTATGCTGCAAAAAAAAAAAAAAAAAAATACAAAAAACTTATTTTTGATGAGATATCCAACTTTTTATTTGTGAGACAACACATGTTGTTCTAGGAATGTTGATTATTACTATACCAATATAACAGTTGTTTCAAGAGGTGTATTTTCTTTTTATTTTCTTTGGATGCCATCAATATGACAGATGGCTTGACTGATAAGAAAAATTTTGAATTTGAGATAAATGCCAAGTGGCTTCATCATTTAATTGTTACTGACATCCAGACATTGAACCTCTCAGTTGTTCAATCTCTCACTCAAATAGTAGACACCCCACATAGTTCCCCTAGTAATTCTGACAGACACACTTTTCGACTTGATCCCTTCCTTACCTCCTCCCCAGACTTACATTGTATTTTGCAGCCCTGTCTTCTTGGCTATTCTGACCATGTGGTAGTGTCTGCAGATAATTCCTTCCACTCCTCTATGCAAGAAAACCCTATTAACAGGGCATTTTTTCATTATCAATGCACTAATTGGAATTCATTTTGTGATTATCATTACAACACCCATAGAATTAAATTTTTAATCTACCCATTGAAAATTGCACCACTGAGATCTCTTCCTGAGTGAAAGCTGACATGAAAGCATGGAAACACCAAGTGAAACTGCAATCTTCTCCTTGGTTTACTTCTACCTCTTCAGCCACTATAGCCTACAGGAATCACCACTTCTTGCTATACCATTAACATAACAGCTTTGATCACAACAGATGCCTCTTTGTATCTGCTTGTAATAATTGTAAGTGTGTCTTCAATGAAGAAAAGTCTCTATTTACTGATAGAATGAGATAAAGTACAACCTATGACAAGTTTGATGTTTGTGATTACTGGCAGCTGTGTAAGAGTGTTAAACAAGGGTAAATCCTCAATCATTCCTCTCTTCAATCAGCTTGAAGTATTGTTATCTGTTGCTGATGAAGCAGAATGCTTTGCTTTGAAATTTTTTTCTAACTCCACTTTTGACTCTTCAGGAGTATCTTTGTTTGACCCCACCCCCAAACAGAATCTCTGTGATATGCATATAACTCAGCCCATGGTTTCTACTAGCCTTTCAGATTTGACAGTAACCTGCAATTGACCTAAAGAAATGTACCCCTGAACTGGCTCCTGTTCTCTCCAAACTCTACAATAAATAGCCCACTGCTTCTTGCTTCCTAGCTTGTTGGAAATCCTCCTCTGTAGTTCCTATCTTTAAGAACTCTGGTGAACCTTCAGATTCCTTGAATTATCACCCTATTAGTTTTTTACCACTTTTTGGCAAATTGGTTTAGCATCTCACTTCGCATGGCCTTCTTTTGGATAAACAATATGGTTTTCATTTTTCCAGGCCTATCACTGATGTATTAACAATTACTACTGAATTTGTCTATCAGGCTATAGATAAGAACCGTAAGGCTCAGGCTGTGGCTTTCAATATCTTGAAGGCATTTGATGGGGTTTAGCATATCGACTTTCTCCACAGGTTTAAGAGAAATCAAATATTTGGCTTAATCCAATCGTTCTGAATGGACACACGTCTAGATAATTTCATATTAATGTGAAGGTTTCCTAGAGTTTTATCCTTGACTTTACATTGTTCCTTATTTTCATCAATGACCTTCTTGATGTCATCAGTTCTCAACTAGGTATTTATGCTACTTACAAGCCGCACATACCCTCACACATTCATACTTGTTGAAGAATGACAACATGCCAAGCTGTACTCACGGTGAAACATTTTTACTGAATGTGCTTACTTAGCACCTGTAAGAAATAAATACTACAAAGAGACCAATATAAGAAAACAATTTGAAAATACTGAAACGTCAACATAATGTTCTACCTTAAATAGTTTTATACCAACACCTATAATCCCTACAACAGATCATGTATATACAATATATCTATAAAACATTTTTATACTTTCAGAGTAAATGTACAAAATATCTGTAGTTGAATGCTTACAATTGCATTCAAAATATATTCAGTTGAAGGCACAATACTGTGTTCAAAATAACACATAAATGTTGATATGTAACTAAGCAAAATCAACCAAACTCAACGATTTATTCCTATCCTAGTAGTAAGTCTAAAAGCTCTGACAAAGTAAAACTGGTAGCTGTTCTCAGAAATTACCTCCAATCATTGGGCAATGAATAGCATGTAAATTTTAATGCCTCCAAAACAAAACTTCTATTATTTAATCCGCATGGAGAAGTTTTATTGCTTTCCATCACATGACTGATTCTAACCTCCAGAGAGCAACTCTTTGCACCTTCATGTTTTCCACTGACATGAAGTGAAGTGATTATACTGAATCAATTGCTAGATTTATGGCTAGGAAAGTTGGTTCACTACGTCATACCAGACAATCTTTCTTGTCAGAATTCATTTTACACATTTATAAGAGTACCATTCATTAATGCATTAAATATTACTGTTATATCTGGATCAGTGCTCCTGCTATATAAGTTATATATTATTAAGTTTCTAAAAAATAAAGATTTATTAAATCAAAGAAAAGAAGTAACTTTTTTTTGTAGACACTGCATTATGTTGACCATAAAACATAATTAAATTTGATCACAAATAAGAAAGTAAAAAATGCGTAATTCCTAAATTTTAAATCTTAATTTCAACAATACTGTATCTAGTATACTAATAAATATAGTATTTTAGATCTTTATAAGTAAAAATATATAAATATATAGAATATGACTTAATCAAATTTGAAAGCCCTTTTAAGAAAACCCCAATGTATTTTACAAAAAATAAATAAAAATGCCAATACATTGTAGTGCATCTTATGCATGCCCTTAAAAAAAACACAAAAACAGACAGGATGACATGTCCTCATATAAGGAAGCCAGTATTGACAGGCACAAATTACAAACCCACACCTAACCCTTAACTTATATTTATACTTTGCCATCTTAAATTAGACTTGTATTCTGATTCATCAAAAAAGGCAACACCTTTTTAAAATTTTGTAATACCTTTCCCCCTTCAACTTAAACTATATAATAATATTTAGCTTAAAAAAAGTAAATCAATTTTTTTTTTAAACTATTCAACATCGCTTGAGAATGGAACAAAAAATTTAATTTAAAGTTTACTTTTTAGTTCAGAAACATGGCAATTACTGTGTCCTGATGGATACATATTTTTAAATAATAATAAAATATATGAAGTGTTTGTAATGTAATCAGTCATGATCAGGCATCAGGGTTTTAGTCCCTTTCTCATTGCTATGTCATGACTTTTCCTCTGTCATTTCTATAAATATTTTCATAGTAATTGTTCTGATAAACATTCCTCCTTTGCACCTCAACCCCATGAATATAAGCATACAACTAGGTTTTGTCATTTTACTGCTGAACTAGGTAGATGCTTTTCTCACCTGTGGAACTTTTTTTCAGGTTTCTTGCTTCCCTGCCACCTACAATCTAAATGCAACATATCTTCTATCTTCTTGAGTCCTGTTCTTTTATTGTCCTTTCTCCTCACTCAAGTCTTCTCATGCTCTTTCACCTTAATGGCATTTTAGCCTTGCTTGGGGTGAGATGATTTGTAGCATTTTAAAAATTTACTTCAGTCAAGCAAAATAAATCAAATTTCAAGTAAACAATACATACCTAGTAAAACTTCCCCATTTTTACTAAGTGCTCTCTGTGTTTCTGAATTATAAGTGAATTCCTCCTGCAGGTCAGGTGACTTGGCAGCCAGTTCTGAAAAGGACTCGCCCAGTGATTTCTGAGTCTGGACCACATAATAGAAGTGATTAGTGAGGGTCCGTGCCAGACGCAGAATATTCCAATATTTGCGCTGTGTATCCCGCAGGGCTTCAATCTGACTTTCCAGCTCCAGGTCGACTGTCCGGGATCCTTTGCCAAACTTTTCAGACAACAGTTGACGAGTACATTTATAAGTATTCAAACTCCACGAACGGATTGTGTCTATCTTGGAGGCTGCCGTCTGGGTAACACCACCCTTTGGCACAAAGTCACCATTGCTCTGTGGACTGGACAGGGGAATATTACTGGTAGCTGAAAAAAAATAAAATAAAATCATCTACAATTTCTTACTCATGCACTTATGCATCGAAAATGTGAGTAAAAGCACTTATTCCAGTTTGCTGCAATTGACAAATCCTGTAAACAAGTAAAGGAAACATGATAATTGATGTTACAGAACAATACATTTTTGACTATTTTTATATACTGTTAGACTGTTACAAATTCCCTTTTTTTTTTGCTTATTTAAAAAAATTCCTTAGTTTTGCTAAATACATATATCCACCAATGAGAATACTTAAGTGAAATTAGCCTAAGGCAGGATTTTTTAATCCCCACCCCTTTTTCAAAACAATATCTGAAACAGATTCTTAATGTTTAGAATTATGGGAATTTCTCAACATCTTTAGAAAATATTTGGGGTTTCTTTCTGAAAATGAAAATTCCTTTCATATCAACAAAATGTTTCTTCTTTGTATTTATTCTCATATTGGACAAATATTTCACTAATTATTTTTCTATATTATCTGAAAACTAAGAATGCAGCTGTTCAAAGAGATGGATCTTGTCTCAGTTGAAAATCTCTGAGATTTCTTCATTTATCATCCATCAAATATTCCCAGATTTCTATGCCTTTTTTATTTATACAAATTGTTCAGAATTATAGAAACCTGAAATACAAATCAGAAATGAGGGCCAAGTACTTATCTTTCACACCAGCTTATTCATCAATTCTCAAAACCAAAACCATTTAAATTCTGTTAACTAAAAGTGAAGAAAATTATTCCCAGTTTTTCCTTTTTATTTGTAAATAGTAAAAATTTTCAATGAACACTTTTTGTTATAAAACAAAATAATGATAAATATAATAAACTTTGAAAAGACTTAAAACAATCTGATTGTGAAACAATTCTTCTTCAATGTTTAATGAAGCCAAATAAAAGTATTTAAAAAAATTATATTGGTACTTCTAACAAAACTAGTAAAAATTAAAGTAGCTTATTTAATCACACACAGAGAAAATACCATCAATTTTTGCATATAACATAACCATCTAGTAGGCTAACGTTTAATCAGACATCATCCTTTACAAGTATTTAAGCTAAGGTATAACTCCATAACATTGTATCCATTTTCAAGAAGAAAAAGTTAAAATGGTATGGACACATCATAAGACAAAACAATCTTTTCACTGCCATCTGATAAGGTACCATTTTAGGTAAAAAGAGGCGGCAAGGGCAAAAATGTACTAACAATATCACTGAGTGGAATGGAAGATCATTCACAAAGACTCAGACATTGACATGCAACTGAGATATATAAAGAGAGTTGGTCAGGTGTTCAGTGATCCATAATGATTACACCCAGTCATGAGATTACTAGTTAAGTGTAAATGACATAGATGAGCTTCAAGCCAGTCATCAAATACACTAATTCTCAATATCTTCTACAAAAGATAAAGAATAAATATTATATAAACTGGAATTTTGTTTGCTTCAGACACTGAACAATTTCATGGGGAGTTCTCAGATTCAGTAGACATAATTATTGGACCCAAAGGACAGTTCTTCTAATGAACTATACTAAAATAATTAGTAACATTTAATTAAATGTTACTAATTCGGTTTGTAAGTAGTTTCTCAATCTAGGGATAAGAAATTTAGGACTAACAATCCAGAGAAAGAAAAAATGATTTGTCAGTTTAAAGATTTTTATATATAAAAAAAATTATTTCTCTAGAAAACTCTACAATTTTTCACAAAGCAATAAATGGGCTTTGCTATTAACAATTCCTATAACAATATAAAGATTTGTGAATGTTGAAAAACAAATTTTGACAGTACAAACTGAGAAATTCATTGCCTCAATCAACTTATCACAATCTTGAACAATACTAGATTTACTGAAAATATATTTGTTTGTTTGAAGATGTAATTATGATTTTTCAACAGTTACCTGACTGAAGAAGCAATACTTATCAGCATTAGTCCAAAGATTATAACCAATTTTAATCCAAGTCTTGACTTCTTATCCAGTAATTATTCTTAATGTCCAGGAATTTTTGTATCAAATGAAAAAGAAGTGATATAAAAATGTAGTAAAGTCTAAGACCAAATGAAGAACAGTGATTGAAAAATGATTGGTACAATTATAAGAAAGTTTAATGCAAATGGTAGGGAGAAGCTCCTGATAATGATTAAAGAATTAAAGAATAATAGACCCCCATTAAATGCTGAGATGTAGAGAGCGAGAGAGAGAGAGCTGAAAATGGTCAGGAGAGAAAAGAGTGATGAATGCAAATTTTCTTTCACACCAGTTTTTTTTTTTTATTTGTTTTAAACTACAACCTATTTATTCAAAGCTGATCTCTGTTGAAAGTACTGTAATTGCACCAACCATTTAAGTATTTTCCATACCTGACCAAACTTTTTTTTTTTTAAATGGAGTAAGAGGAGGCTTCTGTTATCTTTTCAACCCCCACTTCATCATTGCAGTAGTAATATACTTCTTATGTAATTCTTTTGACTTGGGAGAATATATAATTATTTGACTCACTCTCACACAAACACACTCACTTACCCAAATCCAATATAAATCAAAATTAGTTTCATACAAAGAAAGGAATGAAGATTTCACGTAAACATTTTAACAATTGACATCACTTAAAATGATCTGAAAAATCTTTTGAACATAGAAAAAATGATTGAAAAAGAAGTTAAACAAATTTTTCATTATTTTTAATTTTTTTCATTTCATTTTTGATAAATTTATACTTACTATAGAAAATATATGCATACAGAAAAAAGTAAAATTCTTTTACTAATACAATAATAACAAATTTATAATTCTGTGCCAAAGTAATAAAATTTTGGGGCAGATATTTTCATTAAAGATTGTTATTAATTTCAAAGAATGTTCTTATCTTTAGATAAAAATTATATTGGCAAATTTCTAAATATTGAGACACTAATTATAGACTTTTATTAATTATTTTGTGATTTAGTTATTGAATTCTATCTTTTTCAAACATTAAAGCAATGTTTTGGTTTTTACAACAGACAAAAGTGAAAACTTACATCTTCCATGCAAACCTGATAAATTAAAGGTGGAAGATTATTGATTTAACCAATTTTGATTTCCTTTATGAAAATCAAAATCTAAGTGCCCTCCCCAGCCACCACAAGATTTAGAAGAATATCAGGTAAATTAAATCAGGTAAAAACAAGAAATATCTTACTTTGCACAAAAGTCATGCAATGATTGGGCACAAGACTGTTACATATTCAATAAATTAAAAAAAAGTCCAAGTGACTTATCGGATTGAATTTTTTTTTGATTTATTGAATATTATTGCACTAGTTATCTATTGAACACTTTTTGACAAAAGTTCTCCTAGCCTGAAAAATATGTTAAATCTTTGGTAATTTTCACATTAATTGTATTATCATTATTATTTCCCTCCTTCTCATATAAAGAAGTAATGGATTTTTTTTATTTATTAATCTGACAGATTACATCACTTTAAACGTTACTTTTAGTGGATACCCATATCCGAGTAGACACTCCGTTTATTAAACAGTTGGCTTTGCTTGATTGGTGAGAGCTTGCGTGGACAAAGTCAGTCTAATGCACATTGGTTTCTCCTGCAAAGGGAGATACAACTTCATATACTAATGGAGAGTGCATTTTTTCTTTAATAAGATTTCTCAAATATTCAGCCCAGTAGGTGAAATAAAATACTGTTTAAAAAATAAACAGATAATCTACTCAAATGACATTTAAAGTAATAATAAATTATATATATATATATTGATTATCATGTCATTAGTTGAGATGAAAATACAACTAAATGTTTGATTATAGTCTATCTAGAGATTTATAATAATCATGGTGGAGTGGGGTGTGATGAAAGTTCTGGGCTTACTCCCACTCCACAGAATCTTTTTCTCGAAAAGCTTGGTCAGACCAAAAACTTTTCAGCACCTCCCTCGATTACACACTAATGTATATCTCACTTCAGCTAATATGAACATGTACCAAATACATAAATCATCTCAAATGAGTGTCTTTAACCTCAATTACAAGGAACATAATTGCTGATAATTTCCTCCATGAAAATAGCTACATAACTCAAGTTTCAAAGTTTGTCTATAGCTGTGAACTTTGAAGCAGAGAGTATAAATCACAAGAGAGCCAGAAGGTTTGGGACTGGAAGTAACTATCAGACAACAGATATTGATCTCTCAAACTTAAATCTATAGCTTTAAACATGGCTGAACAACATCACCCTGTTTCAAAATTTCTAAGTGTGTGTGGGGGGGGGGGGGTGCTAAAAAAAATTTCAGGCTCAGTTAAAAACATTCAATTTCTTTGTTCATACAAATATTCACAAATCATGGTGCTTAGTTGGAGATATTTACCAAACTATAGAATTCGGTTATAAGGAGAGATGGGAAAGAGGTCAAGAATAAGTCTTAGTAATTCCTAGAATTACATCACTCTCGTCTTTCCTATCTTATTTCAGTTTCATATCTAAAAACATAATTTGAAAAAAAAAAAAAAAAAAATTGTAAGCCAACTTTTGTTGAATCTCTTTTTGCTATAATTTACTCTCTGGGCGAAATGATGAGCAGCTTTTGTCCTGTCATGATATTAAATCCATTAAAGACAACAATTTTTTTTTTCTTCTGCTTCCAGAAAAGATTTTAAATTAATTTTAGAAAACAAAGCTTTAAATATGTACAGTAAAATAAAAAAACAACTTCTTCAAGACTGTATTATAACTTTTTGGTGGCCAGAATTTAAACAAAGCTCCACCCTGTAAAAAAAAAAAAAAACACTAAAACTAAATAGAAAATGGCTTAGGAATCATTTTCAGAGAATTGTAAGCTTTTCTTTAATTTTAAAAATGTATGAAAATCTATATTATTTAAAAGGAATATTAAATGTCTTAATCTAATGACTTTTGGTTATTTTGAATTTTATACTTACCAAAAATAAAAATTTTTCAATTAATTTTAGTTTTGTCAGTTGAAACTTTTTTTTTTCTTTTTGTGCTTTTAAAGAATAAATTCTTCCATTATTATTTATAAGCATAAAAAATAAAAAAAAAAAAAAAACAATATTAGATTTTATAAAAAAAAAAAAATAAACAGGAGCACAACTGCAAGCTACAAATGGTTTGTGTTATAAGAAAAGTTATCATGCAAAAAATAAAAGAAGCATTCGGGTGAGAATGTCAAAAATGGGGATCAAATACAAAATGAGGAAGGAAAATAATAAGGGAGGGATGAAATGAGGAAGAGAGAGAGAGAGAAAAAAAGGAATCTCAGAGAAAATAGTTAGAAATTGGTGCAATGGCAATTGTTAATGCAGGTTTGTGTAGAGGTTGAAATTTGTAAAACAAATAGACATAAAAATGATTTTCAAGTGGGAGTTTTAGATAATAAATGAATGTTAAAGGCAAGAAAACTGAAGATGCCTGGTGTTGGTCACAAAAAGAAGAAAAAGAAAAACATTTCTACAGGCAGCATTGGAAGTGAGCAGGATTTTTACTGTAAAAAGAATGTTGCAAAAGTTAGAAGCAAAAAAGAGTCTAGACATTTTCAGTATTCACAACACTTGAAAATATCTGCTCTATACACTAGGCACAATCTAAAGCTTATTAAGTGACTCTGTATGTGTGTGTGGGTGGGTTTATGTATATGAGTGAGAGTGAGTTACTACTTATTAGTCAATTATTAAGGTGTACACAAAGGGTAATGCTTACTCACCATTACAGCCAGGAGCAGGTTTCATTTCAGAGCCTAAAAAATTCATGCATATCAAAATAATCTATTTCTCTTGATAAGACATTTTGGATAGAGTTCAAATGTTTAACCAATACCTGCAGTTAAATAGATAATAATCAAACAAATGAACCTTTTCATCCAAAAGTAATCATCATCTGCCCCCACTAATTTAAAAAAAAGAAAAAAGGGTTCCAAAATAAAGTGAATGGTTTAATTAATCAAAAGCAACTAACAAAACATCAAAGTGAATCCACATGCAAAAAATAAAAACAAAGGTAAATTCTTTCATGCTAAAATAAAAAATAAAAACTCCCCCTCACTTTATTTTTTAAATTTAAAAATTGTAAAGATTCCTGTTTTTTTTTGGGTTTTTTTTTTCATGTACATGATAAGAAAAATGTTAATGATGATTTTTATTTAATGAAATTAGAAACTACTTAACAGTATGAATCTAACCATTGTAAAGATTTCAGTGTAAAAATAAACTAAAATTTAAGGAAATACTTTTTACACACAAAACATAACCAAATTAATGTCTTGTTTGTTTGTTTTTTTTAAATGCACAGCCTTGGATGCAAAAAAAGAAAAAAAAAAAAACAATGGATCCATTTGAAATTGATTTATGTACAAGACTTGATGCCAACAATCTTATGTTGTCTTTGCAACATTTTAACAAATTTGTAAATTTATTCTTATAAATCTTTTACATTTCTTGCCAAGAATCTTTTTCCCCCACTTGTAAAATTCTATTGACAGTGAAAATGTTTTAAACTACTAAAAATAACCCAACAGTGTGACTTTGACTGAGGTCATATTTTAAAGCTGTTATTTGGTATTTTTTAGAACTTTTCTACCTTGATGTTATTTCTAAATTTAATATTATAAAACAAATGGTTAGTTTTGAAGAATATTTTATACCAAACATTTGTTAAAAAATAAAATGGACTTAGAAATTGCTACAAATAATATTTGAAAATTAAAAAGAAAGTAACAGTAACTATAAAATAAAAAAGATCTAATTCTGAAAGTTGTTCTGCTGTTGTTCTGCTGTCTATATATATATATATATATATATATATATATATATATATATATATATATATATATATATATATATATAAATTTTAGTGAATAGATAAAAAAAACTCTAGTGAATTCATTAACAGATATCACATTTATTTTAAATATGTTATATAAAATAAAATGTTAATTATTGATACCAACAAAAGAAAGTTGAAGGATAAATCATTTGAATATTTATTTATATATTCACTGTCATTTCCTTCATTTCTTTCTTTCTTTTTAATATTTAACAATTTACAAAAATTTGATTGGCTTCATCATGTTGTCAACCAACAATTTACATGTCAACTTGTTTCATTAGGTGTAAACAATCTTTTTCATTTTTTCTTTATTATTCACAAACAGTACAATGAATAAATTGACACATTTTGTGCAATTTATAGTGATTCTCTATTCAATTAGCAAATGGGCACATTTAAAAATTTTCAAGATAATTTTTTCACTGATATTACAAGTGTGTGTGTGTGTGTGGGGGGGGTCCTTTTTATACTCTCTACATAAAAAGAGGGTGATAGCATTCTAAAACAGAAGTACCGGGTTGTATTTATCTTTACCATGGTAATAGTGGATGTATGGGTGGTGTAATGGATAGCAGCTCAGAATGAGAAATCAAAGAACCAAGTTCAAATCCCAATCAAATTTGTTACATTCACTTACACAGAACCATGGGAAATGTATGAATACATCTCCTCCCCCAGATATGGGTTAATTAGTATTTGGAAAAATCATTGTTATTCTCAAAAAATTGTTAATGCAATATTTGGTTGTACACTAACTGATCAGCTAGTGCTATTATAAATGTAATCATCAGTCTATATTTCTGAAATTAGGTATTTTAATTATTTACACTATTTACATTGTTTCGGACTGTTGTCCTCATCTTCATTGCCATGATGTTTTTCAGGTGACTGGAATTTCAAACCAAACCCTTTATTTCATCCACCGGAGTAGAATAAAAGCATTGGTTGAATCCAGTGACTTGACCCAAAAAATTATGAGTTCAATACCTGGCTACAGCAAAGGTGAACAAAAACTTGGAAAGTTGAATTAAAGGGAGATAACTGATACTGAGACATCAAGGAGAGACATGGCATGTGAAACTAGAACAATCTACCTTGGTGGACAAAATAAAGGGTTAGGTTTTAAATTCCAATCACCTGAAGAAGACCGGAGCATACAATGGCCAAAACATCATGAATATGGCAACAAATATGAGGATAACAATGAAAATATAAATGTAATTACTTGATTGTTGCAGACCTAGAAGAGGAGAATATTCCTCCTTCTTGTTTTAGTTAGAATTAAATCCAGGTTTTTCCAAAGTGACCTTATCTGGTTATCTTAAAACAGAAAATACAAACTTTTTTCTAGATTTTCCTGGACAAAGTCAGATTCAGTGAGCATTCAATGAAACTTTTGCAAAAACCACTCAACATGAAAGTAAATAAAGAATAGAAAACTTTTTCTTTTGTTTTAAATGCCTTCTTTTAAATGTCTCCAAATGGTGGATTATGCTCAAATTAACGACTTTGAGAATCAAAAGATTTCTTCCAACATTCAAATAACAAATCTTTCCCATATCAGTAACTTGACCCCAAGGGTGTGAGTATTGAAAGTAAGCCAAATTTTAAACCCTGTTTTATCTCTTTTCATTTCTCTATTCTCTACAGCAGAATCATCTATGTATGCCTAGCACTTGCATAAATAACTAAGCTACAACTTTACACTTTGCAATAATCAATAAGTTTTTAACTTAATACAACAGTGGAAGAATAAGTAATAAACCAATACCATTTGCTTGCTTTTTGTGTCTAAATCAATTTACTAAAATGATTTGAATATTTGCTTTTACAGATGAAATTGTATGCTTTTCATGCATATGAAAATATCTTGTTGCTGGCAAAAAGAAATGCTATGCATCTGAATATTATTATCCACAATGTTATCACAAGTGATGTTGGGTTTTATTTTTTTTTTACTTCTTAAAGTCATGTATCAAACAATTATCAATCTAAAGTTGTTACAAAATCTAAAATCTCAGACAGGTTTACATTTTATACTGTTTTACAGGGGTGTATAGATCACTAATTCATATTGTATATATTTACAGAATTATTTCCCTTGGGTGACAAGTCATTTGTAAATGTTTCAATAATGTATGCACCCAACAGAATCATTACCATAATTAATGTGACAAAGTAGATATTATTTTCCACATTTGGCATACATTTGAGAATTATGCATATTTATAATGATAATGTTATCAATGGAATTTGTAATTTATACAATGGAGATGAAAGGAGACTTCAACTCGATTCCACATTTACAATTACTAAATGAGAATGTGAGAAGTTATATTTTTATTTTTTGAATTCCTTAAGCAAAAAAACTTCTTTCTCCAAGTTGTCATAATTTGTTTGTCAATTAAAACAGTGTCAAAGAATGAATTCATCCATAGACCTAAAAAAAAAAAAAAAAAAAAATTCCCTGGAAGTTTCCCCTTTCCTCCAACAAGGTGAAGGGCAAATAAATAAAGATGATATTGTATATTTTGATTTCATTGAACAGAAAATATATATATGAGCAATGAGGTTAAGATCATGTGGCGACAGTTTGTTTCATACTTGAACAAATTCCAGAAGATTGCATTCAGGCATGAAACAGACTGTCACTGTCTGGTGTGACCCCCAGTATCCACTTTGATATTTATATATGACTTATCCTTGATATTGATCATGTTTACCCATGAATAGTGCATACCTTAAAAACTATATTTATATACATTTTTTCCTCACCTGTACCTCATGCACAATGCAGTCATCAGGTGCTGATAGAATCTGTTGAGTTTTCAATCAGCACCTGATGATTGCCTTGTGCATGAAACTCAGGGTTGTGCTAGCAGTGAGGAAAAAAAATTATATTTATTATAAATCAGTTCAGTTTTATTAGCACTAACATTCAATGTGTGATATTTTATATAAGTCTTGCATTGCTTTTAAAAAACTTACTAATTATTCCGACAAGTATCCTCATTTTTTTATCTTTTGTCATTTAACTAGCATCAAATTTATAACTCCTTTTTATAGACTTGAAGATGGGGGTCTTGAAATGATTATATAATATACCACACACACACACAAACAAATATATATATTATTATAAATTAATTGATTTAAAATATGTTTTTTTCCGCTACAGTTCTAACCATGTTTCAAAAATAGAAGCTAAAAGCCCCGAATTTAATTTTGCAATTAAATTAAAAGCATTAGTTCCATTTCATCTTCAAGCGAATGGAACTAATGCTTTTAATTTAATTGCAAAATTAAATTCGGAGCTTTTAGCTTCTATTTTTGAAACATGGTTAGAACTGTGTAGTGGAAAAAAACATATTTTAAATCAATTAATTTATAATATTAATGCTCTGTAAATTTACATTGAGCACTATTTTGTAAAAATAAAAATATCTATAAGAACACCGGATTATATATCTTACTGTTCTTTCTTTTTATTTATATATATATATATATATATATATATATGATTGGTGTATACAGAATAAATTCCAATCACCAACAATTACTATTCTTAAAAGAGTGCTCAATACAGAGTAGAGCGAATATAATTATTTATTTAAAAATCATAACATAAATATGTTATAAAATCACTACAAAAATAGCTATTTTGTTTCAAAACCTTTGGTGTCTTATCAAGTGATAATGTTGAATGTAGACAATCTACATTCATATATATTTGACTGATAGTTAGCTTCCTTGCACCAGCAATACCAGGTGGCAGTGTCTTTATGACAGGGATACACTGTTCCAATATGTTTTATTAAAACTCAAAATATTTAATATTTAGTTTTGATGGCATGGTTATACTGTGTTTCATATATATATATATATAAAATATATATATATATATATATATAT